GTCCCACGGCAGAGCATACAAGGCAACGCCCATTTTTTGGCACTTGGCCCCACTCATGAGCGAACTTGCAATCGGCGCCCCGCCTGCATCCTTCATCCGACTTAGCAAACCACTTGCAAGCCTTCGTCTGGGTCGTAGGTGAAGCGGTAGTGGGCGCCTTCGGCTTTGGAGGTTTCTCCACTTCTTGTGCGCCTCCGCCTCGGTCATCGTAGTTGTTCCGCCCGTCCTCGCCTTCGGTCCTGTAGCAAGTGCTTCTGCTTCCGCTAAAAGGTGGCGGTGGAACGAGAGCACGGCAGACTCCGTTGGATTCGTGTCCAACCGAAGGTTGTTCCTCACCAAGGATGTTCTGAAGGCTGCCTCCGGGTAGGTCTCGAGGACTGGCTGCATTATCGTCGCCAAGGCTCGTGACAAGACTGTAGGGTCAGGAGTTGCTACTCCTACATCCGACGCCCTTCTAAACCACCGCTCCCATTCTCGCAACGCACTCGCTGCTGCCGACGGGTCTTCCCTTCTCGTTGGCGACTGAAGCTGGTCCAACACCAGCTTCTTCTCCGCTTCACCGCCTGGTTGATACAACGTCAGCACTCTGTAGATTATCTGGCTTGCTGAGTGGGTGCTCCGCCTTGCAACGAGGTCCGCACGGACTGTATCATCGAGCGAGCTCAGGAGCATGGAGGCCGCCCGGGAATTCAACCTTGCATACTTCCCCTCCTCAAGCGACTTGTCCCTTGGCGGCTTCATCGCCAACCTTTCCATGGGCGATGCGTTCGCCCACTGCTTGTATCCATCTGTGGCTAGCTCCTGTATCTTGGCCCACCACTCACATGAACTGTCTGACAGGTCCGCCATCGGGGCTTGGAGTAACTGGAGCCAATCCTGTACCTCAACCGGTGACGTCACTGGATCCGGGGGTTTTAAGGTTGGCAAGCTTGCAACGCCTGGCTTCACTGTCTCCGGCTCATCAGTCGCACTCTTTTTCTGAAGAACCTTGGTCTGGACATCTTGAAGCTGCCGCATTCCTGTAGCTATCACGCTCAACAAGTCCAGTTGCGTAGGCTGTTTTTCCCCTTCCCTTGAGCCTTCTGTGTTCTGTCCACCGCCGCGAGGACCAGAGCCACCTTGCTGTTGAGCACCACTGTTAAGGCCAGGACCACCTTGCTGTTGAGCACCGCTATAAAGATCAGGACCACCTTGCTGTTGAGCACCGCCATAAAGATCAGGACCACCTTGCTGTTGAGCACCGCCATAACGGCCAGGACCACCTTGCTGTTGAGCACCGCCATAAAGGCCAGGACCACCTTGCTGTTGAGCACCGCCTTGCGCTTGATGCCCTCGAAGTCCTGCGTCTGTCTGTTGATGCCCTCGAAGTCCTGCGTCTGTCTGTTGATGCCCTTGAAGTCCTGTGTCTTCGCGCGCGATGTCGAAGTACTCCACTCGGGGGTGTCGTGTTGCATAGGCCCGATCACTTCCTGGTAGATGTTCTTGCGCTGCTACATAAGCCCGACTGCTTCCAGGTAGAGGCTCTTGCACTGCTGCATAAGCCCGACTGCTTCCAGGTAGAGGCTCTTGCACTGTTGCATAAGCCCGACTGCTTTCCGGTAAAGGCTCTTGCGCTGCATAAGCCCGACTGCTTCCAGGTAGAGGCTCTTGCACTGCATAAGCCCGATTGCTTCCAGGTAGAGGCTCTTGCGCTGCCGCATAAGCCCGATCACCTGGGGGAAAAACCGGCGTCGGCATACTCGCCGCTAACAATTGATCTCTTTCATTTCGTAGCTGTCGAACTTGCCCTCGTAGGTGATCCGCTTCTCCCTCATATCTCCGCACATACTGAGCTAGTTGCCTTTGCACTTCTGCTTGAACCTCCTCTGAAGACGTAGAGCTTGTCGTGTGGGGGTATATCAAGGGTGCTTCTCTTGACAACTGTCTCAAGCGGTTTGTTTGCTCTGGCGTGAACAGGGCGGATGCTTCCCTCTGTTGAACCTGCCGTCGAAGAGGTCCTGGGCGTTCTCCTCCAGGTAGCGGTCCTTGCTGCCCACCAGAGCCTTGATATTCCGGGGGTAACTCTTCAGGCGGAGAGAAAATCAGATCCTCAATCCTTCTGATAGGCGAGAACGACGTGGGCTGCATCTGCTGCTGCGGCTGTTGCTGCTGTGGGTATGTGAATGTAGGGTGTGTCCCCTGGGTTGCCGTTAAACCTAAACCCTCAAGCACCCTACCCTGAAGCCCCTGCGTCCTGACTGTAGTGGCTTTCAGAAATTCGGTTAGTCTTGTCACCCAGCGTACTCCTGGAGCTCCTTCAGCAGCCTCGTAGGAATACGCCGCCATCTCCACAGTTCGCTCGGCCTGATGCGGTTGATCCCCACGGGATCCAGCTGCCGTACGTACGCGTCGCGGCGATGGCGGGCTTCCAGTAATAGATAAAAAGTCGCTGTCCGTTCCAGCATCCTGTATCGGCCGACTCACAGTCATCTCCCTTCCCGGCTCTGCGGGTCTAGTATCCAATGCTCCAGAACTCTGGTGGTCACCTTCCGTCGGGCCTGCCACCCGCGGCTCCGCCGGAAGCGGGGCTTCGCGAGGGGCTTCCTCTCTCCGGTGATCCACCCCATTCATCAGCACTTGGTCTCTATGCACCCGTTCTTCGCCTCCATTGGGAGGTGCTGCTCGGTCTCCCTGATGCTGCGCTGTGCCGTAAGTAGGTCCTGCTTCTTCGCCTTCAAGAACTGGAGTCACAGCGGTAGGTTGGGCGCTCATAACCTGCAGAGGAAAACCCGCTGGGTTTAACCTTGTTCTTCGTCTCCTCAACGTGGTAACAACAGGTTAGAAGGCTCAGAGGACCATGAGTGCTCGCACAACGGATCGAATTTCTTTTCACCCACAAGCTAAAGTGCCAAAGCGCTTCTGTGCACAGCTCTGACTTCCGAAGATACTTTAGCTATCTGTGTCTTGCTGACATGGCTACTTCGAGCCATTCCGTCTGCCGCACAGATTGTCATCACAAGGATCCCCACATGCCAGCTCCACCAGCATGACTTTACATGGATAGGGTGTGGGGCATTTTCAGGTTCGGAGTTTTGCCCTTACATTGCCATCGTGAAATCCTCAAGTTTGGGGTTCAGGGGTGGCTACAGGCATCATGGTTCCAGGTCTTTCAGGCTTGGGGGTTACTGCCTTCGGCGGACACAAGACGAAATGTGACACAGTTCGTCATACCAACGAATCAAAGTAGCACTTTGATTCGACACATCAGCAGAAGATCCATTCAAACAGCGGTATGTTCTTGAACTTCCAGGTTCCAATGCCCAACGTCGAAAAACCTTCCTTTCGCGGGTAGATTTGTTCAGAACAGGTTCGGGTCGTCCAACAGAATGCCTTGTGTGTGACGAGAGCGATTCGCAGATGCTGAGGGTTTAGATTGGGTCTCCGAAATCAGCAATGTGAACATGTACACCAAAATTACAGCTGCTTTTCAAATCCAGCCAGGCCACAGCAGCTACGGCGGAGAGGGTGGCTGCAACAGCACCGCAGGCGGGTTTACAGCAACTGGTTGCCAGGTTGCTGATTGTTACAGTTATCGTGATTTTTCGTTTTTTGTTCAGGAAGTGAGATGGGGAGAAGGGTTCTGCTAAGTCGCTGCTTTGTCCTCGTTTAGATGCAGTCAAGCGATGATCAGCTACTTGTTGCACTGATTCTTGGGCGCCAACTTGCGCGGGCATGTTTGAGGGTGGATTCTAGGCGGTGCGTGTGAAGCCCCTCCGTTGGCAGTCTTGGTCGCGCCTGCTCCGGCATCTGCTGGAGCTGCGCTCAGCAAGCTGCAGAACATTCAAGCTTGCAGATGTGTGGGTCAGAAAACGGCATGGCGTGGGGCAAAAGTCACCGGAGGTTGTGTTTCTTGGCAGTTGTGCCTTGAATGAAAAATTTCCGTGGCTTCTCCATGGCTACATATCTTTAATCTAATGTTCGCATCTTGACAGTAAGTGAGTGATGGTTTGCCAGCCGCAAAAATGTGCATTTCACAGTTCATGCTGGCAGTGCAGTTTCAAAACGGTGAAGGCATTTCCGCGACGCAACGTGTCCTCTGAGATCCCCGTCTTGTCTTTCTGTTAGTGCACTCTCTTCTTGCTTGGAGCTTGGGGCATGGCTCTTTGTCCCCGCGTTTAGGCTCCGCGTGGCGGTTCCTGCAAGGCTTGGGTCTAGTCAGTGCCAGGCCGAGCTCTTGGACGTGAGCCTGGACGTGCCGGACTTTGAGAGCAAAGCTGCCATGGGCAAGTTTGTGCGGAGGTGCGCCGTGCACCCACAGGCTCCCCGGCTGCCGGCGCATCAGCTCGATGAGCTGGGAGGTGATCGCAGAGGGCCTGAAGAGCACGCAGGCGATGATGCCCGATCATGAGCGATGATGCTGTGTGCTGTGTGCTTTTAGCTTCACCGTGTGGCGCAGGGGATGTGCATTGTCAGCGGCATCTCCATGGCCAGCAGCGAGGAAGACTTCGTGCGGGTGGCAGCAGAGTGCAGGAGCACCAGACTGCTATGACTCGCTTGACACATGGAGCAGTGTGTTGTTTTCCAGGAGGCTTGGGGCTGCGATGTTGGTGCGTCGCTCTGACACGTTTCCTTAACTGGCAGGGGTGGCATGTCGTTGAAACCGCAGGAGCTCGATCGGTTGAGTTTCGATTTTTCTTAGGTGGTGTCGAAACTGTCCTGCCAGCGCGCCTACCACTTGCTCCGATCTGAGCCTGAGCTCGACTTCCCGCCGGAGGACCCGAAGTACTCGACCTCCGGGCGTTGAAACGCTTGACTGCACAGACTTGCTGCACCAACGCTGAAGCACAGGACATCATCTTTGACTGCCTCATCACGCTGTTGGGTGCCTTTGAAGCTGTGTTGTGCAGCCACTTCTAGACATCCTCTTGTGAGGTCAGCAACCTTGCTGCGCGAAGGCCTGGCCAGCACGTCGCGTCCTCGGCGTGCCGGACTCGTCGGCCGCACAGCGGCGCACGCTGCAGATGCAAGCCATGAACCCGGAGCCGACCCGGCCCACGCGGTCAAGAACCATGCGGTAGACGCCGGCATACCTCCAGGCCCTGCTACTTGCAGCCAGTGCTGGAAGGGAAGGTGTGACTCGCACAGGTTCCTCAACTAGTGGGCCTTCCTGTCCGGTCTTACGTGCCCGAAGCGCAGAAAGCGAAGGCGAAGGTGTTCGCAACACCTTGCAGCCAAAGCTCCGGCCTCGTTGAAGTCACCGGCTCCTGTGTCTTGTGGTTCACGCTGGTCTCAGGGAGAGTCGGCTTTGGTGCCGGTGAAGCGGCGTGCTCCAGAGCCTGGCAGACCCAGCCCGCTCTTTACCCATCCCGTGGAGATTCTGGTTCAGGCGCCTACGGCCTACGGCCGTTGTACGTCACACCTCAGAGGAGCCAGGGTTGATGCCGCCAGGCAGCGGGCCCCGTCAGCGCATCGGTCTTCCAGACCTTCGGGAGCAAGGCACACGCGCCGGCCAACTTCCACAGGCTGGACGGCTACAAGCAGGACACAGCTGTTGCTTGGCTTGTGGGGAGGGGTGCGAGATTGCTTTCGACTTGCGAGGCTCAGCACGGCCACGACCATCAACAAAACCGTGCAGTTCTCCTCAATTTCCGAGGACCGGCTTGATAAGGCCCAGGTCGGGCATCCGCCCTCTCGCTTGAAGATGGGGGCCTTCAGCTGAAGGACTTAAGCGCTGAAGGACCCGGAAGAGGCGCCAGTGGTTTGCCGGACGGTAGAGCTTTGTGGGAGAGGCCGTCCTGGATCGGCAGCTTCTTCACTTGTATGAGGGTTGACAGCTGACAGATGCGGACAGGCATCAAGGCATGACCCAGTACTCAACCACCACCGTGCCCTGGGGCCTTGACTTGGGACTTCGTTGGCTTATGCTGCCCAGCCTGCGAAGCTCTCGTCTCAGACTTGTCAGTTGGAGTCACAGCCGGACGCCGGCAGTTGTCGCTGTTCTGGCTCGACGCTTGCTGCTGCTTCTCGGGTTGAAGGTGGTTGAGGCCCACACAATCGCCGATATCGTGTTGTGCAGCCTTGCTGGCTTCGCATGCGGCTCCTGGAGTCGGCAGGTGAGAACGTGCTCGTGACCTGTCATCTGGGCAGTGTGGCTCGATGAGCAGGGCAAGAGCTCGCGCCTTTGTGGTCTCTGCAGTGGTACGAAAGTCACGGAAGTTCATTGAGAAGCCAGAATGAAATGAGGCGAAAGCATGCCGGCCGACGTCTTCCAAGACGCTCTTCGGCGTGTCAGACCCAGCCCGGATTGTCTCAGATTCGTGGATTTTGGGAGGCTTACGAAGTCTAGTGGCTACTGGTAGGAGGTTCAGGGCATCGTCACCTCAGAGCTGCTGTAATCGTGCCCCTGGGACCTTGCCGTCGACATCTAGCCCTTGGCAAGGTCAGCTCCAGCAGCGACGAAGAAGTGCAGGCCTGTGAGGGTGAGTATGGGTACATAGATGTCGCCCGGGCATCAAACGAGATCAACGGCTTGTAGGGTCGCAAGACAGAAGGCAATGTGTCAGTGCGCTTTTGCTGAAGCTCCGAGCAGCTGGTCAACGTAAAGAAGTGCAGGCCACTGAGGACAAGTGTAGTTTCAGCTTTTCCGTCATTCCAACATTACGTACTCGCGTAGTGTGGAATCTCTTGTTTTGATCATTCGGGCATTCGGGTGTCCGAAAAGCTTCAAAGCGACACCCGGCCCCACCCGAGATCCAAACGCAAACACAACCTGCTCCAGATTTGATACGTTGTCGGCTATGGAATGCAAAGGCCCACGTTGACCGTCTGTTTGGCCAACTTGATACCCTCCCAAACCCTCGACTTCAATATGCAGAATCTTCAAGCCACACATTGTAAACGCAAACGGTTAAACCCTAAACCCTTCGCCCCCGAAGCTGCTAATACCTTGAATGTTGACTCCCCAAAACGACATTCTAAGGGTAAACAGTTCTTGTGAAAGCAGTTTGAACATTCTCGCGCGCCAGGTCGTGCCTTCTTCTCGAACATGTGTCGGCGCATGCAGAAGCGCTGCTGATTGGAAAATCGGGCGTCATCACCATCATGATTGCATGAGTCCGAGTCAGGGTACAGTCCGTGCGCTCTACGTGCATTGCAATGCCAAGACCAAAACCTGGATGCATAGCAAAGTCGGTGGCGATCTCGTTGATGGCGCTGGCGATGCAGTTCTGCTTATGCGGTTGGTGATCACGATCGTACACCCAAACATGCATGTAATCAAGGTCAGGGTCGTGAGGACAACCACGAACAGATGAGGCAGATGGCTGGAAGGGATGATGGCGATGATGATGGTAGGATGATAAGAACATACTGGCAATGACAAGGATTCCAACCTTGATGATGAAGATGATGATGACGATGACAATGGTGACTTTAACACAAACGAGGATCACAAGAATGTGCTGGCAACGACAACGAGTCTGATGCTGAGGATGATGATAATGGTAACGACGGCGGCGATGATCGCGGCGGCTGCGGGTTGGTGTGGTGACGTTGACGACAATGACGGTGACAATGTTGATGAAGCTGATGACGATTGTGGTGAGGATGGTGTCAGATACGATGCGAATGGGACCTGAACTAAAGGGTTGCATCGGCTGAACTTACAAAGCCAAGCCCTAGCCGTTTGCCGGCTTCCACAACCTTTGTCGTCGTTTGTTACCCGGTTTTCTGAGCAGGCTTTCAGCCCCCCTCCCCCCCCCCCGGGCGAAAAGGCCGAGAGATACGAGTTGCATCAGTGCATCAGGGACAGCGTGGATGTTTGGTTCTAGGTGAACCAGTGCCTTGAAGACGGAGTGCTGATACACAAAGTCGCCGTCCATTTCGACGCAATGGCGGCACCTTTTCGATATTTGCTGCTGTTTACCGGCTTCTCCGCCTGTGCTCAGTTTGATTCAGGCACCTGGGATGCAAGTTGTCATTTTGCAGCAGGGTTGTTTCTTTGACGACGTTTTAGTATCATTGTCCTGGTCCTCGTGCTAATTTAGCACAGAGCTGAGGCCGTGGCCACTTTTTCCCGGTTGCACCGACAAAAAACCGTGCTTTTGTCTTGAGTCTCCGACTTCACTCACAATGCACGATTTAAGGCTCGTCTCCCACAGAACAAAGCATCCTGTCGCGTGCCCAGACCTAAAGCACTTCCTTTCAACTCCGCCTTCGATGGGCCTGCCTGCCTGAGCATGCATGGCAGCAGGCTGCGGGTGCAGCACATCCCTAGGCATAGAACACCAGTATGCCTTGGCATCTTCCTCCGCCGTTGCCCCGCATGTTTCTGCGCTCCATGCCCGACGCTCAACATTGAAGTCTACGAAATCACTTCACCCAGGTGCTCTTGCGGCATTCGTGGACTTCCTGCATAAGACTCTCGGTTTCAGCACAGAGGATATCGGCTACATCAATGCCATGGTGGCTCGGCTTCAGATTCTGGTTCATCGAGGGAGTGGTTCATCGAGGGAGTCTTCAGGCGTAGGATAGCTAGACGTAGCCCTAGTGTGAAAGCTGATATCTCGGTTCTGAGCTCCTGAGACTTTGAATTCGTGGTTCTATCCGAGGAGTACGTT